TATATATATATATATATATTATGGAAAAAAGAATATGTTCACAAAATAAGGAGTTCTCTACTGAATAATAATAATTTTATTTCCTTCTACTTTAGTTTATCCTCTATCTAGAAGTTTGAGAAATTTTATAAATTTAATACAAGTAAAGGACAATTTGGTGCACGATGTATTCTGTATTCATGTAGAATGCGAGGAAGGGCCACCCTAATGGATGCGATGTAGGCGGCCTATTACGATGCAAGTATCTGAGTGATTCTACAACTCGAACACACCTATAAGTCACACAGAATAACTTTACCGTTTGCTTCAAAATTTTCTTAATAAATTTAAATAAAGGTAATTATGAATAAAATATTATTAAAGTAAAAAAAAAAGTAACATCCATGAAAGGGTATCGTACCTTCAACGAAGAAATAGGGTGAATATAATAATATTATAATCCTATAGGCTATGCTTAAAGTTATTCATTTTCTCTTTATTTGGCTTTTTATAGAGCATCAACATTTGGTTTGAAGGTATAGTTTATATGAATAATAACATACGTAAAGATTGACAAATTAAAAACTACAATTTTTTCATAAAATTACCAAAACAAAGTTTTTCCATTCATTCTCCAAAAAGTATATACATTTCCGGAATTTCCAAGAATAGGAAAAACAAAAAAAAAGTTATATCAAACTCTACTTTTTTCAAAACCACCTCCCAATTCCCAATCTTCCTAGCACCTCATACCCATAAAAAGAAGAAAATCCAAAAATTTGTAAAGCAAATTAATTTTTCTTCTTTTTCTCCTTTTTTTTTAAAAAAAAATAAAATAAAATTAAGGGACCTAATATTTGAGCTGGCATGGCTCACCATGCTTACCATGCTCTTCATTTTCACCTCTTGTCCACCAACTTACACTGAATTTACTTTACTGGCTCAATTAATTCAGATTCGCATCGCATCGCACAAGGTCATCAAACGGCCTAGCGTTCCATGTCACAAGCACTTTCTTCATTTCTCGGACTCAAACTCGAAACACCATTTTCTTGTTCTTCATTTCCCGGACTCAAACTCGAGACATCATTTTCTTGTTTCTTCTCTCCCTCCTCTTCTCCCTCCGATTTCTCCGTACTACTCTCACTGCTCGTAGTACAACCACTACTGCAACTACCAAAAGATGAAACCCTACTAGATATAGGTGTAGCAATAAAAGTTGGTTTCATTTCTCCAGCCATAATAACTAAAAACTTCTCTTCAAAAACATGTGGTACAACCTTAACATCAGATCCATTTTCATTATTAATCCCTTCTCCAGCTTCAAGATCATCTCCATTTTCACCTTCATTATTTTCAGTATACCCTGAAAGTCTCCAATAAGAACATGCTAATATTAATAAAGCAAATGCAATTAGTCCTAACATGGCTGCTAATCCACCGAATAAGTACGGTACCGGTGAGTGCCACGGTGATCGTGGCGGCCCAACCGGAGAAATAGCGGTAGAAGTTGCCTCTAAATTCGTCATCTGATAAATAATCTTCGTTTTTCAAGTCGAAATATTTGATAATATTGAAATTTGGACGTACGTCTAGTTTAGTCGCCTCAAAATCAAACTTATTGTATAACAAAAATTTACTAAATTTAGAAAGTTTCGGGGAGGTAATATTTTTTTTTTTTTTTTTTTTTTTTTTTTTTTTTTTTTTTTGAATTGTGGTGATAACGGAGGAGGAGGAGGAAGAGAGAATGGAATGAAGAGGAAGAGTAAAGGGAGGAGATTATATATAGAGATGAAAAGAATGGATTTAATTATTTGTTTTGATTTTAATTTTTTTGAGTGAATTGTGTCGTCATTGCATGAGAAGTGGGGGCTACGTTGTTATGTTTATTTATTTATGTTTTTTTTTTCCTTTTTAAGGGGGACATCTAAATATACAGTGGGAAGCACTCAAAAGAAAGAAAGAAAGAAAGTTGATTGTGGATGAGTTAAGAGGGTCCCTAATTATTTTTTAATTTTTTTATGTTTTAGGAGAAATAATTTGTATAAGAGAACCTCTTTCGTTTAATCGTTTTGAGATTGAGTTAAGTCATATATATATATATATAAACGTGATATTTAGTGTAAATATTTACATAAGTTAATCGCACAATTTACGAACTTGGTCGTTAAAAGATGGAGTCATGTGTGACTATATCGTATTGGCTACTTAATAAAAAGTTCTTTTGTTTAAACACCAAATAAGGTTTGTTTAGGCAGGCGTTTGGACATAAAAATTATGAAATTTCGTAAAAGATAAAATAAAATTTAAGTGAAAATAACTTTTTTAAAATTAGAGGTGTGTGTTTGTGTGTTTTTTTTTTGTAGGGCTTTACCCAGAAGGGAAGCCCTTTCAAAAATTCTCAATGGCCAAGACAGAACCCAGGCCGAAGAGGGGGTTTGGAAATAGTTTTCTACCAGTAATAGACGCGCCTCGGTTTGAACCTCACTAGCTACGTCATTGCCCCAAACTTCAAGTAAAATTTAAAATTCTCATGTTCAAACGTTAATTCAAAAAAAAAAAAAAAACTCCTAGAAAAGGGAATTACAGATATGATTAACCGTTTAATAAAGGCTTAGATTTGTCAGTGGGATATGAAAAAAAACGTACAGAAAAAACCCATGATTTGGATGTCTTTTAGCTTAGTGGTGATTGACCAAGGGGCCCATTAAAATAAGGAAAATAATATTGTATTCATAGGAATTTTAGAAGTAAATAAAAAAAATTGTTTTTCAAGAATAAACAATGTAATCCTTGTCCAAAAAAAGAATTAATGTCTAGACGAAGCACAAGAGGCAACATATTTAGTTTTCTATATAAATTCAAATAACAATTCTTAGCCTTTTTTAGATCTAATTTACATTCAAAAACCGTATACGATGTTATAAATTATAATTTTATATATAATTTTTTTAAAAATCGTTAAAAACTCTATCGTTTTCCAAAATAACAAATATATCATTCTTTCCGCGTGACAGAGGAAGTATAGGTTTTACATGAACAAGAAAAAGGCCTTTAATAAAAAGATCAAATGTGGGGGTTAATTTTTTTTCTCCTCAAAATAGGTTAATTTATTCAAATTTAATCAATTCCTAGACTATTAATAAAATATATTTATTTTTCAATTTCACAATAATTAGGAATAGATAATTTTCATACGTAATAAGAGAAAGTTGTACAATTAAATTTCTTTATAACAACCTTATTTGTTCCAAAATATTTTGGTTGTTATAATAAAGTATTGTTATAAAGAACATACATTAATATAATATAGTATAAAAATTAATTTAAAAAATAATAATTTTTATAATAAATAATTATTATATAGCGATACTGTTATAAAAAGAACGACATCATATAAAAGAGTTTCGTTAGGCTCATCATTTGTTATTTTAAGATGAGGCTAAAAATGCTGAATCATTAGGTATTGTTGCTTCATAGTTTACACCAACTATTTGTACACCTTTTTTGCTAGTAGAATTAGCCTTTAATTTCCATGTTGGTAATGGGACCCATCCTAGAGGATTACATAGGGGGGTAGGGGAAGGGGGTAGGGGGTATAATTGGTTGAG